CACTTCACACTACTCTTAGAAAATAGGTTCTACCCCCTTCGTGTGAGCATTGCTTTGAGTACCTCTGAGTACTCACTGAACTTTGACATACAAGACTGGTATTCCACACTGCACATGTCCTGCATTTTCTTTTAAGTGTCTAGGTGCCGGTATTGGCCAGGGACCCAATGAGGCCCTAGGGAGCTTTGCCGCACCTAGACCATGGCAAAGGCTATAAACTCGAAGGGGTTGAGGTTGGAAGACTAGGCCTGATTGAAGGCTCCCTATAGAATAACTTCTTATTTTTTTGTTCTTATTTACCGTAATTCATATGATAGTGGTTTGTAATAATTTGTAAACAAACGATTGGGGTTTAATAGTGAATATGGGGGAGGGTTATGCATGCTTAGTATAAATAATGGGCAGAAAACATGCTTATAGGCGCAATAGATAACCTGTATAGGCCATGCATCTCATTCATTAGAGATCCTGCTTTAGGTTCTTTACTTTCAGTCTGTCATTACGCTCTCTTGTAATCACGATCAGTTAATAACTAGCAAATAATTAACAACAAGCTAAATAATTTGTCATTACTGCATTGGCATGTTAGAAACCATGTTTTAAGTACTTTTATGTGCATTAGATATCCTGCCCTTAGGACTTCTCACTCGTTCGAGTTGCAGTAGTTAATTCACGTTTGTCTAATAACTTTGTTAAAAGATGGCTAAGTGGTTTGAAACATTTTCTGCAAATACTTTATCACGCGTACCTTTATAAATCAGAATCGAAATATGTATGTTCATTCTCTAAAATTATCATACAATGTACAACGATGCCTAGGCAAACTTTAGGCCCGATAATAACAGATTAATTGTATTTTTATTAGCTTAAGACCAACCAACTTCTTTTAATTTCAACTTTTGCCTTTCCTATTCTTGTTTTGATTTTCTGAAGCTCACTCAGCTTTTCTTTCTTAAAACAAAACTCTGCTGACAACGATTTTGAAATGATCCATCCATCTTGCTCTTACTAAGTTTCTGATTTCCATCTCTGGATTCCCAACCTCTGCCCAGAGTCGTGCTATTATTGTTCTTACTTCATTTTTTTTAATACCAAGTTTAAACTGCTGTAAAAGTCCCTATCTTTTGAGACCTTAATTATGTTTAAGTCATGCTACTTATGTGTTTTGTTTGAGGAGGTATACATGAGCCTTTATATGTTTACATGCTTCCCCCAACATGTAGTATGTGTTTTTTGTATGTCGCCTTAGATTTTATCCTTTGAAACCAATCAGCCTAATATCCCACCTTGTAGGATTAGTAGTCCTAAGTGCCTCCGGGACTAATAGGATGGGATGGGTAATAGCATGCAATAAGTAAAACGAGACCATTCCGCGTTTAATACCTTAACGGGGTGGGAAAGCGTAGATATGGATATGATGACCATGCGATAACACCACGTGTATAAACGGTTACTGGGTGTTGTGTGGAGTGATCCATATTATGTATAAACCTAGGACCCCTTCCCTTATTTATACGTTTTATTTTCAGAATTTCAACTACTTTTTTTGCAGAACTTCAGCTTTTTTTTAAACTTCTTTTAACTTTCTACAACTATATGAAAATTTCCTCCTTTGTTCAAGATTTTAAAACTGCTTCCTCTACTAAAAAACTCAGTCTTTAACTTCTTTAATCTTTTGCAACCATTATGTGAAAACCCCCTTGTATTTGTAATTCTTGCTTGCCTACTTGTTGTTTGCATTTAAGTCACAATATAACATGGCCGGGAACCACACTAGTGGATCTTGAGGGGTGCCTAACACCTTCCCCTCGAGATCATTTCTAGCCCTTACCCGAACTCTGGTTTTCCAACTCAAAAACCTTTAGTGTCCTAATGCACTTAATCATTAGGTGGCGACTCTTCAATTTCAATTCCAAAAAACCCAAATCCCAAAAGGGAATAGAGTTGTCCTCCCAAATGTCATAAACCCGATTTCGCGAGAAAAAGGGGGCATCGACAGCTTCATGGCCCAGGACATCATGGTCTAAGGACGTCATCTTAACCGTCCAAAGACAGTATTCATGGTCCAACGGGAACTTGAATCATGTTTAAATTTGTGCACAATATCGCTTGTATTGTTTATTTACTGGTAAACCGGCGAGCAACGACCATCTCGGCAGGAGCATTCTGCTCCAGTTCCCGCAGCCCTACTAAACCTTGGCCATTCATCCCAACCTAAATATTGCATCCTTTCTTGAAAGGTCCCCATCGGCATACTCCGCCAACGGATCCTGAACTACATACGTCCTGATTCCTGGAAGACCAGGGATATGTAGGCAGCTCAGAAGCCGTAGCACGGCCAGATTTTCTTCTTGTCTATTCTGTGGCTTTTACAAGACTACTGTACTTTATGTTTGTTTGTTTCCCTTAAAACTGGTATGTTCTAATTTAAGTTGCAGCATCACCACAATGTGTTGACTTACAACTTTCTACATCTATGTCTATTTTATTACTTCTGCAGATCTAAATACTTAAACTAGCATGTTATTTCTTTTGCTTGTTTCTGTCATGAACCCCTCCTCCATATTCCCTTTATGTGTTGAGAGTTGCAGTATAAAACATGGCAATATGCAAGTTATTGCCTATGGTTTGAACTTGATCCCTTAAAGGATCCTAACTTCTAAACAATGTATTCTGACAGGCTTATCGGGTAGGCCAGCATTCCTCATTGCTGAGTATGCCCCACCAGCCTGCTGTTGCTTTTCCTTTACTATCTCCCCATTCCCTATACCCCTATGTGTATCAATGTGAACTGTTTCCCTTTCCCCTTTCCCCTTTCAGAATCCTGCACTTGCACTCTCTCTTAGTTCCTAGGTTCTGCCCCCCTCCTGTGAGCCTTGCCTTGGGACCCTGAGTTCCCTCTGAACTTGGACACTTGAGGGATGGCTCTTCCACACTGCACTATGTCCTAGTCTGGTAATGTATTTGGGGTGTAAGCACTGCCCGGAGTTCATGTGAGGCTCTTAGGGAACTCTAACACACCCCCAAATGAGAGAAAGGCTTTGAAATCTGATCTTTGGAGTTGGTTTACTTCATAATTCAGACAGGAAGTCTGAATCAGGCTCTCCTTGGTTGTAATTTTCAATTTCTGATGTATTTTCTTTATTTTCTTTGGACTGTAATAACTTTGTAATAAACTTTCGGGGATGATTAGTGAAAAGGGAGGGGTAACCATGCATATAAAAGGGGTAGATAACTTGCCTATAGGAATCTCTAATTTCAGCATTTTCCATATAGATAACTTGCCTATAGGAATCTCTAAACTTGCCTATAGGAATCTCTAATTTCAGCATTTTTCATATAGCTACCATGCCTATAAGATTTCTGCATTTTTCATATTTCTACCATACCTATGAGGACTTCTGCATTCCCATTTAGTTTCCATGTCTATAAGAATTTCAGCATTCTCATTTATATGCCATGACTATAGGGATTCTGCACTTTCATGTAGATATTATGTCTATTGCTTCTGCACACGCATGTAGAAAATATGCCTATAGGTCCTTTCTAATTCTTGCGTACCCGCTTTTCACTAGGCAAACTTGTCTATAGGTCCTAATAACAAAAAATATAATCAGCTGTGACGTTCGTAATAAGATTTAACACCTAGATATCATGTTGTAGGTTTTCTGCATTTTTCTTATCTATAAAAGTGTTAATCAACAACGCGTAGAAAGCATGCCTATAGGAACTATCAACCAAGTCTGAAACGTTTCCGCTCGCTTATGAGTCCAAAACCAGTAATAATGTTTGCAGAACCTGTAACTTTTGCTAAAGTTTGCTTTTCTTTAATAATCTGATAACCCCTCTTAATCAGTATGTATTCAATCTATTTCATTCTTGTTTCTGAAATCTGTAGATATCATGCCCATAGGTTTCGTCTATCACTTAGGCAAATTGTAGGATAAATTTTTATAAACTGAATAAGATCTTATTAGCTACAACCAACAGGTTGGCCTGCTTCGGGCTTCTTATCTGAACTATGTAATAAATCAGTCTTCCTCAAACATTTTAGGTTTAACTATACCTTAAACAGTACGTGCAAGACATGTTAAACTATATGCTTTCTTCGGTTTAAAGGAGGTATGTCTGAGCCTTTTATTTGTTTATATGCTTCCCCAAACTTGCTATATGTGTTTTGTTTGTCGCCTTAGTATTTTTACCTTTTGAAACCACAAATAAGCCAAACATCCCCTCCCTTTAGGATTAGTAGTCCCAAGTACCTCCGGGACTGATAGGACAGGGGAGGGTAATAGCATGCAATAAGTAAACGAGACCATTCCGCGCTTTAACACCTTAACGGGGTGGGAAAGGGTAGATATGGATATGATGACCACGCGATAACATCACGTGTAAGAATGATTACCGGATGTTGTGTGGGGTGATCCATATTATTAATAAACCTAGGACCCCCTTTCCTTTGTTTCTTTGTTTCTTTTTAAATCTTTTAAAACGCTTCTTTTAAGAAAATCAACTCTCTTTAATGCTTTCCGACTTTGTTTATTTCTAACATTTATGTAAAAAATCCCCTCTTATTTGAAGTCCTACTTGTCTATATGTTATTTGTACCTCAAGTCACAACAATAGCTTGGCTGGGAACCACTCTAGTGGATTCTGAGGGGTGCCTAACACCTTCCCCTTGTAATAATTTCAAGCCCTTACCCTATCTCTGGTTATCCAAAATCAAGCTCTTCTAAAAGTGTCCTAATGCACTTAAATCATTAGGTGACGACTCTTCAATTCCATTAAACCCAATTCCCAAAAGGGAACGAGTTGTGTTCGCAAATGTCATAAACCGGATTTCGCGAGAAAAAGGGGGCGCGATAGCGCCATCACGACCTTTAACGGATTTTGGGTCATGACAGTCTGCAGCTATATGACTCACAACTTGCTTTAGTCTACTGCACAGCATCTTTGAGATACAGTTGTATAACAAATTACAGCAAGTTATAGGCCTATACTGGTTTGCACTTTCAAGATGATCAAATTTTGGAATAAGGGCAATATTTGTGGCATTTATCTGTTGAAGCATCTTCCTATTATAAAAAAAAACTCAAGAATAGCTTCAGTGATATCTTTTCTCACAATACTCCAAGCTACTTTATAGAATCCACTACCAAATACATCTGGCCCAAGGCTTTGTTTTTGTCAATACTAAACATGGCTGCTTTGACTTCTTCCTCTGTGAACTCCTTTATAAGCTGAATTTGTTGTGTTGTAGAACAAATAATTCCCCTCTTAAGGATTGCTGGATGAGCTGGCACCATAATTGTTGCCTTCTTTCCTAGCAGGTCTTGATAGTAATCTACAAATATCTGAGCTATGATGTCTTGATTAGTTTTTAGCTCACCCAGGTCATTCTTGATCTGAATTATTGCTTGATTTAGTTTTTTGTGCTTTATGACAGAGTGAAAGTAGCTAGTATTATCATCTCCCAAGTGCATCCAAGTTTCTTTACTCCTCTGTTGCAAATACACTTCTGCTAAGTAAGATGATATCTTTAATTTCAAATACTTCTTTTTCAATTGATTGTAATTCAGTGTCTAAAGGTCTGGCATGTAATAAAGTTTGAGCTTGGTACAGAGCCTTTACATCCTCTTCTACCTCTGCTATTATATTACTGGAGTGATCCTTGTGCAGTTTCTTTAACTTTCTCTTGAGCAATTTCAGCCTCTTAACTATCTGAAACATTTTGTACCCTGCAACTTGCACCAGCCATCTTTCTTCTGCTAGTCTTGTAAAGTGAGGATGTTGACTCCAATTGTTGCAATATATGAATGATTTCACATGATTAGTCCTTTCTCCAGCCATGACTACCTTAGCACGACAGTGATCACTAATCCCTTCCGTCAAGAAAATGGTTTTACTAGAGGGCAACACATCCAACCATGCTCCATTGATAAATGTCCAATCTATTTTTGATAGGACTTTATGCTCATGCTTATCACTCCAAAGTATATCTGCTCCCCTGATAGGGTAATTCAATCAACCCACACTCTTCAATACAGTTAGCAAACTCCACCACCTCTGCCTATGATATAGGGTTACCACCTACTCTATCTCCAGCAGTCAATATTGAGTTGAAATCTCCAAGGAACAACCAAGGTTTTTGAATCTCTGCATTCAACCTGAGCAGGTTGTTCCATAATCCTCTCCGCTCTTATCTTGTATTAAAAGTATAGACAAAAGTCACTACAAATGAAACTTGTAGAGGAATGTGCAATACCTCACATGTGATCATTTGTGTACTCATAGTCATAGGCAACACCTGAAAATAATCTGGCCTCCAGGTAACCAAAATTCTAGCATTATAATGGTATTATAGATTTGTCAAGTATTGCCGCCCTCCAAAGAGATTAGTTGTTACTTGGCTGACTTTATTACTTTTTATTTTGTTTTCTAGTAGTCCAATCAGTCCTACCCTTTCTTTATTACAAAGGAGTTTGACCTCCTTTTGCATATTAGGCCTATTTAATCCCCTTACATTCTAACTGAGGATACTATCAGTTCCCTAAGTGAGGCAGTTGTTGGCCTCCCTCTTTCTCAACATCCACATTAGCTTGGCTACTAGATTCAGGATTGGCAAGCACCTGAAATGTATTTTGCTTCACCATATGATGATTTGGCTTCTGTTGGTATCTCTTTTTGTTCAATGGTGTGACCCATCCTGTAGATTGCAGCCTAAGTTCCTCAGCATGGACATCTTTTTGGAATGTCTGTGCTTCCTTATCTATTGGTTGTTGTTCCTGTGCTTTTTTTTGGAATGTTACTTGTCTGCCCCCTTTCACTAGTAGAAGTAGACCCTTCCCCGTTTGTTCTGCATTTGTTCCTCTGAAATCTGTAGATTCTTATGAGGTAGCTCCTACATCTTCACTACACTGACCTCCATGGTGTTTTGATCTCATTGCTTAGTTGCCTTATTCTTCCTACAATTCCTCCGAGTGACCATATTTCATGCAATATTTACATTTGGCTTCCGATCATAACTAATCTTCTTCTCAACTATGTCACCTTTGTCATTCCTGAAGTAAACTATATCTGCTAGTTGTGCATCCAATTCCACTTCAACTAATAGTCTTGCAAAGTTTAACCCAAGTTTCTTCTCTATATTATGATCAGCCATTAGAGGTTTCCCAACTAGGCTGCCTATGTTGCTTAGACCTTTTGCACTCTAATATTTGAAATCGAAACCAGGAAATCTTATCCATATAGAGACAGTGCTCAATTCTTCTCTACTAAATTCCACGTCTGGGCTAGAAGCCTTTAAAATAAAAGGCTTGTTATCAAACTGATAAATTCCTCCTTGAATCACTTCGTTCTTCCCTTCGGCTGCATCAAATCATACCAAAACAACTCCATTCTTCATCATAACAATCTTATTTATACCATTTTTAGCCCACAACATTTGGATAAATCCTTTAATCACCTCAAATGGGGGATGAGCTCCCAAAACATAACACACAACAGTATTTTTTTAATAGTCAATTTCACTGCTAAAGTCCTCATAATCAATGTCAACGATAGGGGACTCACTATGTAGACTAGGTGCAATATACTCCAGTTTAAATCCAGCATTTGTAATTTTTGAAATATCAATGTTTTCCCATCTCGAGATTTTCTTAGTTTTGATATCCTCTTCAACTTGATCTGCCCAGGATTTTTTACTACTGGTTGATGTTGTTTGAGCTCCATTACTAGACGTCGTCGACATTATCTCTGTCCACTGTTACATTGCCTCATACTGCTGGACTTTCTCCATTACTTTATCTCTGCCTTGTACTTCAATTTCGACTATGTAACGACCCAACCGTTTATTTTCAGAATTAGCATTCTGTTTGATGAATTACGTCTTGAGCATCTTCGTAATATATGTTACGACTTGCATGTGTGGTCGAGTTCGATTTTCAGATGATTCGGGATCAATTTGGAAGAACAATTCTTATTTTAAAAGCTTAAGTGAAAAGAGTTGACCGGAGTTTGACTTTTGTGTAGACAACTCCGAAATAGTGTTTTGATGATTCCAATAGCCTCGTATGGTGATTTCGACTTGGGCATATGCCCGGATTTGCATTTGGATATTCCTATATGGTTTCGACACTAATTGGCGAAAATTAGAAATTTGAAGGTCTGAAATATTCATAATTTTGATTGAGAGTTGATTTTGTTGATATGGGGCTCAAATTTTGATTCTAAGAGTCAGATTAGCTCCGTTATGTCATTTGGGACTTACATGCAAAATTTGAATTTTTTTCGGATTGATTTGGCATGTTTCGACACAAGTTATAGAATTTGGAAATTTCATAAACTCATAAGTTTGATTCGAGGTGTGATGCGCAGTTTCGACGTTGTTTGATGTGATTTGAGGCCTCGATTAGGTCCATGTTATATTATGGAACTTGTTTTTATATTCGGACGGGGTCCCGAGTGGCTCGGATGGATTTTGGATCGCTTGGAGTATGTTGGGTGAGGCTGGTTTGGGCAGAGCTGGTGTGGTCGCACCTGCGGACCACTAGGCACATGTGTGTTACTCGTAGGTGCGGAGAAAGGGAGCGCGGAAGCGGAGGTTGGGCTGGTTGGAGAACCTCACAGAAGAGGCATTGTGGGGGCATCCGCATGTCCGCAGAAGCGGAATTAGGCTTCGCAGAAGTGAATACAGCGCGAAAGAGAAAGCTTGATTGCACCTGTGTTTGCGCAGAAGCGGAGAAAAAGTTCCGCAGGTGAGATAGGTCTTCTATTGTGTGGAATCCGCAGGAGCAAATTTTTGGTCGCAAAAGCGACGCCGCAGGTGCTCTTCCGCAGGTGCGAACCTGGGCAGAATATAAAGGGTTGAAGTTGGTCATTTTTCTTCATTTCTCTTGAGTTAGAAGCCTCAGTTTTGGGCGATTCATGAGGGATTCTTCATGATTTTGATTTGGATATGTGTTCTATATCCGAAATTGATTATATTTCATAATTCCATCATTATTTTTTATCATTAATTAGTGAATTGAATGGAAGAAATTGGGAAATTTGAAAAATCTTTAAAAATATAAAATGAGGACTTGAAGGGCGCTTCGATATCGGAATTTGATAATATTTGTATGCTTGGACTCGTATCGGAATGTGTGTTCAGAATTTGTGAAATTTTATCGGGTTCCGAGGTGTGGGCCCAGGGTTGACTTTTTAGTCTTAATTGAAAAATCGAAGTTTTTTATTGTTTCCTATGAGTTTTAATTATGTTATAAAATTATTTTGGCTAGATTTGAGCCGTCCGGAGGTTGTTTCACATGAAGAGGTATGTAACGACCCGACTGGTCGTTTTGGGTGTGTTGGTTTCCAAGTTATCCGGAATCGATTTGGAAGAATGAACTTCAAGATTTAAGTTCTAAGTTGGAAGAATTTACCATGTTTGACTTTTTAGCATATGACCCTCGGAGTGGAGTTTCGTCAGTTCCGTTAGCTCCGTTGGATGATTTTGGAATTAGGAGAGCGCCCAGATTGTAAATTGGAGGACCGTAGTTGAATTAGTCTTGAATTGGCAAAAGTTGTTTTTTGGGAAGATTGACTGGGAGTGCTGTTACGACCCAAATTTCCCACCGTCGGGTCCGTGATGGCGCCTAACATTGTACTCGCTAGGCAAGCCAACATTGCAGAATATTTCACCTTTTCCTTTATCTTTTAATAATTTAAAACTTAACAAAAGCAAATCACAGGAAACAAGTACGGAAGAACATAGTTTAAAGGATTATCTTTATGCTAATAACGAAAACCGAGATAAATTCCACCTAGAACTGGTGTCACAATTCACGAACAGTCTACGAATACTACAAATAATGGTCTGAACGAAAAGTTTACATATGTCCCGAAAGTAGGCAACACAGAAATGAAATAGGATAGAAGGGGACGCCAGGGCTTACGAACGCCTACAGGACTATCTTGGGTCTCCGGAATGCAGCAACAGCAACGAACCTCTCGATCAGCCACTAGCTCCGAAATCTGCACAATAAGTGCAGAGTGCAGTATCAGTACAACAGACCCCATGTACTAGTAAGTGCCGAGCCTAACCTCGACGAAGTAGTGACGAGGCTACGGCGGGGCATCACAACATATACAACCTGCAACAGTTTATTCTAAAATGGGAAAGAAATACGGAATGAAATATAACAGAAACTTGCATTAATAATACGGTCACCAGCTGTTCTACTAATACTCAGCTATAACCAATCTTAGGGAGTTTCAACATCTCAGTAATGAACTTCGACAGAAATGAATACTAAAACAATAACTGATGCGGCGTGCATCCCGATCCCACCATATAAACAATAACAGTATTAATATTCACCCTTATTACTCCTTGTTGCGGCGTGCAACCTGATCCCACCAGTCCACCCTTATTACTCAAAGCATATCACCCTTATTCCTCCTATTGCAGCGTACAACCCGATCCCACCTGTCCACCCTTATTACTCTTGCAGCGTGTGACCCGATCCCACCAGACAACAACATTCACCCTTGTTCCTCCTGTTGCGGCGTGCAACCCGATCCCAATATATATATCAGCACCAAATCACAAAATTAAAGACAAGTGTTTCACAAGTTAATTCAAATGCTCCACAACACTTATACCTCAATCCACACAATGGAATATCACTATGACTATAAAACTTCACCAGTGTAAACTACTCAGCGAGCGCAACCAAGGTGTACCATAAGGCACCAATAAACCAATATAAGCCAACAGAGTAGTAAAACGAAACCATGAAACAATTAAATACTTCAATAAAGAGAAGAACACTTAATATGAAGCAACTAGACATGGAAACATTTATGAG